AGACAAAAATGTTAAATATTACGCTAATTAATGATGATTATTATTATTATATTTACATTGTTTATATTAAAACTTTTTTTTTCTTTGGCGAAATATAAAAGGTCTGATATGACGTGGAAATTTAATACCCTTTTTGCTCTATCCGACGGCCCCGGAGAGCGAAATCTAAAGGAGGCGTCTTTCTTCCCGCCGGCATCTCAGTTAACCAGTTCGAACCTACAGGTGGAAGACCCATCCTTGTATTCGCTCACCTCTTTTAGCCACTCTGATACTTCTCTCTCAGCACAGGAACAATCGCTAGGTTGTATGGCATTCGGCGCTTCCCGGCGTTATCTTTCGTATCAATTCAAAGGGTGCTTGTTGGGACGTCTCACCGGTGGCAGGTATCATTATCCCTTACCTTATCTGCCTTCGCTCTCATCAGCTTTATCATACTTGTTTTCAACCCTAGATGAACCATCAAATCTATTTGATGATGTTAGTGTTTTGGGTAATGGGATTCGGTATCAACGCAGTATCGACGAGCGCTTCGTTATGAGAGAGCTTTCTGATCTTTTACTAGTCAATCCTTATGGTTCGGTTTCTGACACCGTCAAAGAGAATCATACTGAGAAACAGGTGTCAATTAGGGCGGTTGATGGATTTTTACGACCAGAAGAAAAATTGCGAGGTGTTTTCCTTCAAAAACTGAATGGTAAAACAGCAATTGAACATGCTTTAGCTAATACTGATGTGAATTTGAGCCAAGATGTTGTGAACAAAGTACTGAACACGGGGAGTTTAGGTAGCAAAGCTATGATTACCTTCTTTGATTGGGCTATTAAACAGCCGTCGATACCTACAGATACTTCTAGTTACAACATCATTCTTAAAGCTTTAGGTAGAAGAAGGTTTTTTGACTCAATGATGGATGTTTTGCACAACATGACACGGAAGGGAGTGATTGTGAATATGGAAACAGTATCCATTGTGGTAGACAGTTTGGTCAAGGCTCGCCAAGTTTCTAAGGCACTTCAATTATTCAAAAACTTGAAAGAATATGGGTTGAAATGTGACACTGAAACCTTGAATATTCTTCTACAATGCATGTGTCGACGATCTCACGTGGGTGCTGCAAGCTCCTTCTTTAATTTAATAAAGGGAAGTGTTCCTTTCAATGCTATGGCATATAACATTTTAATTAGTGGATGGTCAAGATATGGTAGGCTTAGTGAAGTTGAGAGAATTTTGAAAGCAATGGAGGCTGATGGATTTTCTCCAGATTGTCTGACCTACACTTATCTTCTTGAGTGTCTTGGCAGAGCTAATCGCATTGATGATGCTGTCAAGATCTTTGATGAAATGGTTGCAAAAGGCTGTACGCCAGATGTTGGTTCTTATAATGCAATGATCTCCAACTTTATATGCATAGGTGATTTTGTTGAATGCCTGACCTATTACAAACGTATGTTGAGCAATAAATGTGAACCCGACATCAACACCTATTCCAATTTGATTATTGCCTTTCTTAAAGCCAAGAAAGTGGCTGATGCACTAGAAATGTTTGATGAGATGGTGGTAAGAATTATTCCCACTACGGGGGCAATAACATCCTTTATGAAACTTAGCTGTAGTTATGGTCCTCCACACGCAGCTATGTTAATCTACAAAAAAGCAAAAAAAGTTGGATGTAGGATATCCAAGAATGCTTACAAATTGTTGCTTATGCGGCTTTCTTTGTTTGGTAAATTTGGTATGCTATTAAATATATGGAATGAGATGCAAGAAAGTGGTTATGATCTTGACGTGGAAACTTATGAACATGCCATTGACTGCCTTTGTAAAACAGGGCAGCTTGAAAATGCTGTACTTGTCATGGGGGAATGTTTACGTCAGGGTTTCTTACCAAGTAGGAAAATACGTAGTAAGCTTAATAACAAACTGTTGGCCTCTAACAGAACAGAGATGGCATATAGGCTCTGGTTGAAAATCAAAGTTGCTCGTCATCAGGACAATTTGCAAAGATGTTGGCGTGCCAAGGGATGGCATTATTGAAATCTTTTAGGTCATGTCAATTACGAACAAGTTTTTTCTGCTCGTGTTTGGTCATCTGAAGGTTAGTAACGTTTTACAGAAGACATTATACGTATCTTAGTATGCTCTAAAATGTAGACTGCTTAAATTTTATTTGTTAAACATATATGAGACACCGTTTATGCAATTTCTTGGGCTTCCACTGAGGTAAGTCTCAAACTGTAGACTTCAGGGCTCTGTATATCGCAATCCATATTGAAAAAATGGAAGAAATGTTATCTCTACTCATATTCAGTTCATTTTGACTAGAGCGCTGTTTCTTATGTTTTGTTCGTCAAGATTCCCTGAATTTTTTTTATGGGCGGGAAGAACGATAGTTAGGTAAAGAGGGTGCTGGGGAATTTTCACTAGGTTTCTTATGTTTCTTATTCAATTGATTTTATCCAGGTCATTGTGTACTATGTTTGGTTTGTCAAGGTTTTCATTCATTCAATTCATTTTTACTTTGCAGGGTCCGTCGTTTGATGCATACCTATGGGCTTTGGCTATTCATCTGGTGTCCAACGCCCTCATCTCAGGTAACATGTCAGATCACTTTGGCCATTCATTTAGTCATGTGGTGCCCATGCCTCGAGTTCTACCTCAAGTTCTGCACCACAACGCAAAGGATTGATGTGCCATAGTTCCCACTTTAAGAATCTCTTATTAGGATTTAACCGAGCTTCAGATGAGTATGGATACAAGCTAGTGTTGATGATATCCTTTTCAATCCTAGCAAATGGCGGACACTAACTCAATGTTTTCTTTCCCTCTCCAACCGATGTGGGATCTCACAATCCACTCCTTTGGAGGCCTAGATTCCTTACTGGCACACCGCCCAGTGTCTGGTTATGTGACTCTGATGTCAATTATAACAGTCCAATCCCACCATTAGTAGATATTGTCTACTTCGGCTCATTGCGTATCGCTGTCAGCCTCACAGTTTCTAGAGTCTTATAAAGAATGTTTCGTTCCTTTCTCCAACCGATGTGGAATCTCACGATAACTATTCGAGGCTAAAATGCAAGAAGGATCGAGAACTTGACCCCTTTGAAAGTACTTTTGAAAGTACTAGTGGAGTTATTTAGTTTTCCATCATTTTCCTCAGCTCAGCTTGTTCTTCTGCTGAAGATCTTAAATCAAGTGTATGGATACGTGAATTGTACAGAGCTGGTATAAAAATAAACCATCACGTTGTCCAATTTTATTACCATAGTGGATCCTTTTTTTTTTTTTTTTTTTTTTTTTTTTCCCCT